CCACCCGCTGCCAGGAGGCTCTGTGTGCACTGCAGGGTCAAACAGGGCCCTGCCACCCGCTGCCAGGAGGCTCTGTGTGGGGAGGGACTCACAGAGTCATCTGAGTTGGAAGGGATATTAAAGATCATCTGGTTCCACCTCGTGCCGTGGACAGGGACACCTTCCAGTGAGCAGGTTGCTCAGAGTTTCATCCAGCCTGGCTTTGAAACCCCCCCAGGGCTTTGGGCAGCCACAGAGAGCCCCAGCAAAGAGAAATCCTCACATCTCCAATGAAATGCCATTCCTAGTCTGCCCCCCTGCTGCAGGGGAGTGGCTGCAAGTCATGCACATACTGAAAGGTCCTGAAAGCTTTGAGGGCTGTGGCTCAGCCTTAAGGGCAGCAAGTCTCCTTTGCATCATGGAGACTCCTCAGTGCTGTCTCTGGGGACAAAAGCAGCAGGAGAAACATCTCCAGGGCTGACTTCCCACTGTGCAGTGTCCCTAAGAGCAGCTGCCAGGGGCAATTCTGGGTCTTGTCTTTGCTGTTGCATCAGGCAGTTGATGCTGCTTGGATAGATTGTTCTGCACTGGAGGCTGAGAAATGGTTTTGTCTAGACTGATAAGGCATTCCCTATTCCTTTAGATTGTGCAGCCTAGAAGGAAGCTGGACTGAGGGTGGAGTAGACTTAAATAGGTCATTTTGTGCCTTTCTGGCCATTGTATGTTATCTCACTGAACAGGCAGAATTCCTGTGACATTCACTGAATAGTCCTATAGATAAAAATCCACATATCACAGCTCCTTCTGACCCTTTGTGTCCTTTGTTCTCAGTTCCTGCAGAGACAACCTACCACAGCCTGGAGGACGGGGTGGTGGAGTACTGCACCACAGAAGCCCCAACCACAGTGACAGCTGAAGCACCCCTGGAGATGATGGCACACCAGCACGAGGTGTCTGCCAAACCTCAGGAGCTGAAGAGCAGAATTGCCCTGAACTCAGCCAAGCTCCTGCAGGAGCAGCGAGTGACCAACCTGCACGTGAAGGAGATTGCTCAGCACCTGGAGCAGCAGAATGACTTACTGCAGATGATCCGTCGCTCCCAGGAGGTGCAGGCCTGTGCCCAGGAGCGACAGGCACAGGCCATGGAAGGGACACAGGCAGCACTGAGTGCTCTCATCCAGGTTCTACGGCCGATGATTAAGGATTTCCGTAGGTTCTTGCAGAGCAATACACCCAGTCCATCCGTCACCACTGACCCCAGCCAGGCAGGGCAGCAGGATGGTATGATCCAGTGAAGGAAACAGTGCTGGGAGGGGAGGTTTAGGTTGGATATTAGGAAAAATAAATTCACAGGCTGCCCTGGGCAGTGGTGGAGTCACCATCCCTGCAGCTATACAGACATGGAATTTGAGGACTTGTTTTAGTGGTGGATGTGGCAGTGCTGGGGGGAATGGTTGGATCTTAAAGGTATTTTCCACCCTAAACAAATCTGTGGGACATCTCTCATGCAAACAACCTGCCCATGCTGGCAGAGGACACAGGGAGCAAGGGGTGCTGGCATTCCTCCATGGGAAATGGCTCCCTTGGAGTCTTGCTAAGCCTAAACAGCTTTCACTCTCTGCTAATCTTATGCTAATCTGTCTTTTCAGACTCTCTTACAAGAGACATGACAGGATGTGTAATAAACCAGCAAGTTAGCGTTGGTCGCTCTAGTTCCTCAAACAATAAATTTACCTTTTAAAAAGTTACTTTTTAATTCCAGTTTGGAAAAAAAACTTTACTAAGTATGACACCTCTCTCTTTCTCTCTCTCTCTCTATCTCTTGAGATCTATAGCCTTTAACTGACTTCCAACGTAGAGAGTTTTGTTGGGATATCACAGTGCTGCAGCTGCCAAGGTACAGTGATCATGAACTGCAGTACATGGTAGTGAATGCATTTCTGGCTCTTGCTGAAGGCACTTACGGAAGGGAATGCAATGCATTTCTGGCTCTTGCTGAAGGCACTTACTGAAGGGACTTCTTTCTGCACTGAGAGTTAGCATACTGCTCCTGCAGCCTGACCTCCAGCCCATGTAGACCAGCACGAAGCCTCCAAGCCGTTTAAATCCCACCCACGTCCCCTGAGGATATCAATGGGATTGAATTTGTGCAGTCGTAAAGTTTCACCACAAACTTGGCAGATTTCTGGCTCTTGCTGAAGGCACTTACTGAAGGGACTTCTTTCTGCACTGAGAGTTAGCATACTGCTCCTGCAGCCTGACCTCCAGCCCATGTAGACCAGCACGAAGCCTCCAAGCCGTTTAAATCCCACCCACGTCCCCTGAGGATATCAATGGGATTGAATTTGTGCAGTCGTAAAGTTTCACCACAAACTTGGCAGATGTGATGAAAGTTTCATGTCTTGGTTACCAGAAACTGTCCTGGGATGTAATTGGAGCAATATCTTATCTGCCACAGTGTGAACACCCAAGGGCCTGGATGAGTTTCACTCGGGTGTAACAGGTGAAACTCCATCTCTGCCTCATCTGCATGGTTTGTCACCTCCAGAGTACCTTAAGCCATCAAAGTGGACCTGGACTACAGAGCTTCAGCCATGCAGGAATTCCCAGTGTTTAGCAGTTTGTCAGCCACTGATTGACTTGGGTGAATAGTGGGGCATTACTTGGTTCTGCTGGTGGTGTTTGTTCTGTACTGGGAGCTGGCAGTGAGTACAGCTGGGCTCGAGTGGCTTTCTGAGGCAGAGCTGAGGTTTCCTCACTGATTTCTTACCATGTACAGGGTAAAAATCATCACAGCTACTTTTTTACTTTTTTCTGAGGCATTCAGGCTGTGGGGCTTGGTCCTGAATGAGAAAGCTTCATTGCACAGAATGGTCAACACGATCCTCACAAATGTGCAGTAACTCCATGAACTTTTAGATTAAAGCTCCACTTGTACATGTATGGAAGAAAAGGAAAAGAAGGGAGAAGAATAACTTCTCCCTGTACCTTGCTGAGGTGTCACACTTAACGGGCTTATTGCTTGCCAGGCAATTGCCATACTTTTGATATGAAACTTTTCCAGAGCAGGTATTTACCTGCTGCTAAGTCTCCTTTAGGGCTGAGACATTGTGAGCAACAGCAGACAAGGGAGTGAATTTGCACAATCAAATGAAACTTTTACACAGCCTTTAATGGGGCAGTGCTGGTGAGGAAACCCTGGTTAGAGCAGTAGTGAAGAGGTCACTGCTGCCTTTACTCATCTCCTCTCATCTGTGAATCTGATGGAGGAGAAAAGGACAACACAGTGGGATCTGTGGAAGACTCCTGACCCCTTGGGAATGACACCTCCTGCTGAGTCAGGGCAGATCAGCTGCCTCATCCTGCCTTGTCTGACTCTTCCTCTCAGACTTTGTGGAATCAAATTAATTGCTCAACTGAGATTTATTTTTAAAGTGAAAATTATGTCATAGGTGTTGGTTTACCTCATTTGTGTAACGATCTCTCCTTTACAAACATGGATTTTAATAAAAAGTACATTTTTGGTAAACAGGCTGTTTCAGCTCATCACTGTGTGCCAGGGCAGAAATGGGATCATGACAAGTTTGCAACACACAATCCTAGCTGTGAAGGGGCCAAGGAGAGCTGTGAACAGCCACATGTTCACAGCAGCTTTTTCCCCTGTTTGTGAACCTCCTGGCCTTGTATTTACATAATTACAGTCTTTTTCAAATAACAGCTTTTACAGCCTTACCTTGAAGCACGAGTAATTTCCTTGTGCCTGACAGATTACTGAAGTACACTAATCTCCCAGCTGCTCAGAAGATGCCACGATAGCCCAAAATAATGGTACAAATACCAACCTTTGGCTTTAAATTGCAATGTGAATCTTTTTCAGTGACTAAACACTTAAGCTGTGTTACTGTTTTATTGGAGTAAATGTGTTGCCCTTGGAACCACCCATCTTTTTTGTCTTTTGGGGATAAATAGAGCTTAGTCAAGGCAGCAGCATTTGGGTACGTGTCCTGTGTGCACATTTTTGTCTCATTAAAGAGATGTAGCAACATTTTAAATACAGGGTGAGCAGTGTGATGAGGGGCTTGGCTGTTGCTCATATTGAGGTCATCAAACCTGGGGAGGGAGAGAGAAAAATGACCCTTAAAACCAGGTGAACAGGGCACTGACAGGGTGAACAAACAGGCAGGGCATTCACCTGAACAGGAAACTGGTGCCCAGGCAGAACTAAAGGAGTAACATCTATAGATGGTTCTTTGTGCTCCTCTACTGTTCTTTTTGTACCCAGAGCTTTGTACTCACCATCCAGACTGGAAAGGAGCCACCTGGGATGTTCTGCCACAGGGTACGTCGGAGGTGAGGGCGAGCAGGACCCCTCCAGCCTGCTGGAGGAAGAGAAATTTGGTGACTGGGTGGTCAGAAGATAATCTTTGCGGCCGTCAGAGGCAGCATCCTTGCTCCTGCAGCACCGCTGCTCCCTCGGGAGCAAAGCGTGTGTGGCTCCAGCCTGGCTTTCCAGGAGATGGCACTGCGCGACGGGGCACGGCGCGGGATGCCGAGCAGCGCCGTCCCAGGAATCACCCTCGGCTCAGGCCTCTTGGGCTGAGAGTCAGGATGCCTGGGAACGCAAACCAGGTCACTCTGCTGCCCACAGACACAGCAGAGGGCACCAAGATGTTTCCTCTGGGGATGAGTTCACTGCAGATTTAAACAGGCAGGCACAAGATAAGAAAACCCCATGAAGTCTTAAATTATAAGCTAAATGGAGGGGGTTTAAGATGTTTTAGAAGGCCACACATCAATATGTCATTCTCCCACAAGTACAGTGCATTGCCATTGCTACATCCCAGTTCTGGGAACAGACCTCTGCCCAGGGACTGAATGATATCACCTGCTCACTCACCCAAATTACCTTTACCTCCTCCAGCATGTTCTTACAGTTTGCCCAGCCTGTTTCAGCAAAACATCCTTCTGGGGAATTTTTGTGGGATTTTTCCTGTTGCCATGCAAGGGGTTATTGCCAGCAGGTCCTGTCAGCACAAGTGTGGTTGGGTCAGTGTGAAAATTGAAGCATTTAAAATTCTTTTCCTTGAAAGCATCAGACAAAGAAGCTTGAATGATCAGCACAGATTCCAGGCTGTTTTGTGTGCAGGAATGAATCCCACATCACCTGCAAACAGGGCTCATGAGCCCTGGGTCCCAGTAGTGCAGGTGATTAACCCAAAGTGCCAGCAGGGACATTTTCTGTTACCTATGCTGCCTGGGATCCCAAATTAGAGGTTGCTGTGTCAAGTAGGAACCACAGACTTACAGTTGTTTCTGCTGCATTCGGGGTAACAGTAGCATTTGTGGGATTGCAGCCATAAGGATGGAACCAGTGGGACAGACCACAGCCACAGCCAGCAAGTCTCGTGTCCAGCAGAGAGCACTGAAGGGATGGACACCTGGGACAGAGACATGGGATCGTGCTCAATAAACACAACAAGCCTCGAGGCAAAGTGGGTTCCAGTCTGTAGATTTTGGATAGGGCAAACCAGCTCCAGTTCCACCCAAAGGCCTCTCAGAATGAAGTAGAGAGTGCACATTCCCAGGACACACTGAAGCAGACATGGAAACCAGTAAACAAAAAGAGCCAGGCAGCTGGATTTTCAGGTCTGGCCACATGTTTGGGGAAAGGAATCCACCGACTCCAGATTCCTGTGCTGCCGCTGTCAGTAACAGCATCCCCAGTCCTGGCGGGCCAGGAACTCACTGTGCAGGTGTGTCCTTTGCACATCCCACAGGAAACCCAGCCTGGCACAGAAAGTGAAACAGTTCCTGGCCTTTATGATGATGAGTTCAGTTAAATATGGAACAAGTGAAAAACACCAGCAGATCAAAGTGGAGCTCACAGCCTGTTATTAAGCCGAGAAGACGCGAGCTTGGAATAACTCCACACCGTGGGATAATCCTGTGCAATGGGGATAGGGATCCATTCCTCTCGCAGAGTTTTCAACTGCCTGCACACTACAGACAGGGCTCATACCACAGGAGTGTCTGCACCCCCTACCCCAAGTTGGGAGCTCTCCAGCCTGGGTCTACCCCCAGCTCTGGGAAAACATCTTAAACCCACCACAGCTGCCCACCCACAGCTCCTGTGCAGCTCCTCAGAGCAGGGAGATTGCAGAGACATCCCACCCTCAGCATGGAGAACACGTTTACAGCATAAAGCATCGTGTGATAATCTCTTCTTTGTGGATGATGAGGCTGAAAGCTCATTAAGGCCATTACAGCAGAGGCGACAGGTGTAATGGAGAAGAAC